CACTTTGGGCTTCTCATGCCTTTGCATCAACAGGTCAGGAAGGGTGTCACTGTACCGAGTGGTGTGATTGATCCTGATTACCAAGGAGGAATTGGACTGGTGTGACATAATGGAGGTAAAGAACATGTCTGGAATCCAGGAGATTCCATAGGTCGTCTCTTAGAACTACCATGTCCTGTGATTAAAGTAAATGGTAAACTACAGCAACCCAATCCTGACAGGACATTTAATGACCCAGACCCCTCAGGAATGAAGGCCTAGGCAATAGGAATATGTGGGATTAATAAGGTCGCAGTTTGATCGGAGGGCAAAGAGATAAATGGCTCGGTAAGGCCTGCCCCTCTTGGTCTTGCTCTCTGGTGATTGGACCAGCATACAGCTGCTTTAGCAAGTTCTCTGCCTCAACTTGTGAGCTACACTACCTGTGGGACAGTCAACCCATGGATCGTGTCACTAGAACTTGAGGTTCCTTCAAGACTGCTTCACCATGCTAATGGTATATACATCACATCGCTTGAGGCTGGCAGATCCTGTCATCTTTCAATGCTTGAATTCTCTATGTGCTTGCTTCACTAAGCTCCTGAGATGCTGTTTGCTGCCTGTGGCTGGACTGCCTGCATTGCCCTAGAGAAGACTCAGCTGTCTGCTTTCTGGACCTTGGACCCAGCAGCCCTCATGAGTTGAAGGACTTCTAGTATATTAACTGTTTCACGGAAGTGAGTTGAACTGAGCCCTCTGTACTGCTGTGTGGGCTAATTAGCTATTATATTCCTTCGTGCTATATATATATATATATCCATATGTATCTATATATAAAATCTTAAATGTCCTGGTTTTGTTTCTCTAGAGAACCCTGTCTTAACACACTGACCAAGAAATGTGGTTGGAACACACCAGGTAATATGTTCCTGTAGAACATAACCTTGGAAAACCAATGGGGCAGTTCTACTGTGTCCTATAGAGCTTCCATGAGTTGGAGCTGACTTGAGGGCCCACACAACAGAGGTGGTCAAATTGCATATAGCTCAGGAATAAGAAAGGATTTTCAGGCTGGGGGAAGTAAATTGAATTTTGACAAAGAAGAGAAATTCCAGGGGCAAAGAGTTTAAATCTAGCAGTGCCAATCTTTTGGAATTCCTCGTCTAGTTTAACCACCATGGGTGTTACTGCAGTATTAGTAGACAACATGAGAATTTTGCAGGGAGACCTCCCAGGTGTATAAGGGATACGTCCCACTCCCAGGAAAGTGATCGATTCCACTAGGAAAGCTGTTTGAGAATGCAGGGTGTAGCCTCGTGTCAAACGTTTGAGAACGTGATTTCCTCAGGAAGGCTGCCCAAGGTGAATCACAGCCTCATGCTGACTTTCAGAATTCAACCTTTTGTTCTTTCCACCTCCTGACTTGGGGTAAAATTGGACCAATTGTAACTCATAATGAACTAATAAGTCCACATTTCACATTTGACTTTTAATAGCTTTATAATCAGATGTTAACAATACCAAGACTCCCCTGCCATACAGACTTACCTTTAGTGCCTTTCATGAAAGTGAAATAAAATGCCACCACTAAAGGGTATCAGACCCACCTGAACATGAGTATTAACTTCCATTTAGATCAACATTGGTCCTCTTTCCCTGATGTGGACAAGAGTATGAAAGAAATCTTCATGTGAAGTAGTTCTGAATCTTGAATATTCAAATCTACTGTCCATTTCACATTTCAGACAGACTGGGTGTATGTGGGGGTGTGGGGAGGGTCTGAAAGCTATGAAGAAAAACTACCATCAAGCCAATTTCAACGCATAGGCACCCTTCAGGGCAGGGTAGAACTGGCCCTGTGCGTTTCAGACTAAATCTTTACAGAAGTAAAGACAGCCTCAGCCTCATCTATCTCCCTCAGAGCAGCTGGTGGTTTCGAACTACAGCCCAATGCATAGCCCATCACACTACTAGGACTCCTGAGAAGAAAACCAGCCAGAAGCAAACTAGTGCATGGCCAAGACAACAGCGTCGTGCAGAAGGCTCCAAGGTCGTTATGAAAACTACGCACTTTTAACTCTGCCAGTTAGATACCAGTCCTGCGATGATTTCGGCACTGGGTCCCACCTAATGAAAACTCTGAGAAGTCTTATTTCCCATTGGGCACTCTCAGACAAGAATACCACTGCTGGGAACTTGGTCTGGCTCTGTAGGCAGAAGTAGCAGGCGACTTAAGGATTTTTCTCGCATATAAATATACCCAACTACTTGCAAAGGATGAAGTAGGACTGCATTAGCCCAAACTAGTCTCCTGTTTTAACGACTCACATAAGCTGACCCCACACCTGGTTAGGTAATTAAACTCTGCTCTATCAGTTCCCAGCCAATAGCCTTATCACTGTGTTTACCCCATTAGGATGTTTCAGTCTTTCATTAACTAGAGAAGAGGTTGTTAACCTTTGGTGCCTTTGGCAAGCAGATGAAATCAACAGACCAGTTCTCAGAATAATGGTCTTCAATACATACAACAAGATACTGGTTACTGAGGAAACCAATTCTACTGGAACATAGCTCCTAACCCCAGGAGGAGCACCTCTAGAATATGAACTCCTTTTCAGTGCCTGGCACAAAGGCGGGATTTTGAAGTGTCTGTTTATCGAGTGAAGAGAAAGATAAACAGCTACTGCCAGATCAGCTTGAGGAGTGATTCACTGCAACTGTTTATGTGCATACCAAGGACTGACATGTATCTAGACCAGGGCAGTCAGAGAGAGAGCCCACGCTCTACCACAGGGGCCACAGGATCTAGTAATGCCAGGCTACGAGAAGAACAATAACACCAAAGCTCATGTGTCTTCACTGGCTGGAATATTCAGATAGTGAAGGTGAACTGGCTCTGTCTTTAGGAAGTCTCTGGACTTTGGATGCCCTATGCTCACGCTACCTTAAATCTCGTAACAACAGCGCTGGCAGAGCAAAGAAAGAAACCTGAGCTAGTGTGTCAGTTTTCTCTGGGGCTTCTCTCCTGTCCCAAATTGGTCCTCTCATCTCTGAGAGAGAAAAATGTCCCTAAAAACCACAGTGCAATGAGATGTGCCTTCCTGGGTTCAAGTACTAGTTTCGGTCTTAGAGTTGTTTTTATGTACCAACAGGAAATAAATGCTACATCCATCACTAATGATATATAAAGGGCCAAAGGTTTGTTCTAAGCTGATTGCTATGCCTATTAAAATATTTTGAAAAGAAAAATAAAACCCCAGACAATTTTAAAGCTCAAAACCACAACTGTATGGGGTTCAGAAATCTCACCCTTAAGGCTTTTAAGATTGACCCCCTGAACTGAGAGGGCTCTCTGGCTACATACAGCCATCTGAGGGATGGCATACCGCAACTTTCATTGCTTGACTGGGCTTCCAACATTAGTTGGAAGAAACATGGCTTCAGGTAGGTGCCTTCTTTAAAGACAAAAAAAAAAAAACTACAGGTCAAAGTTTCACTTTTAATAATAATAATAATTAAAAAAAATCCTCCCACTCCTGAAGTATGTGCTTTCTTCTTGACCTATTTTTCTTTTAAGTTGTCTGTAGTTTCCCTATGTTTTCCCTAGTGCAGTAAACAATGCAATCAAAGAAATAAAAACCAGGACCCACTCTTGCCCCAAACACTGAAGAGGGTCAGAGGGGGAATCACAGCACGGAAATGGCCCAGCTCCAAATATACAAACAACTAAAAACAAAACAAACAGAGTATCACCCACCCCCCTCCCCAGAGACATTATTGACGTTCCTGGTAAATTTCCTATCATGTTATGTTGCAGACAGTGCTTCTTTCCCAGGGAGTCCAGCTCACTTAGGAGGAGACACCTAGTCAGCACCTCGGAAAGGCTGCGGGTGTTGAGCCTTCCCTGCCAGGCCTAAGGTTTGTGATGAACTCAAGTCTCACAGAAACATCTGTGGGATAAAGCATAAAGATGACTGTAAAAGGGGATGAAGCCAAGCAGGCACCTGTAACTGTTTTCCAAATCAGTCCAAAAGATGAAGGGTGGTATCCCGGAGGCAGATGCCAGGAAGAGTTAGGGAACAAAAGGAAGCACCAGATGAGTGGTTACTTTTGGTTCCAATGCCACAAAAGGGACCCCACCTAAAGCAGCAGCTGGTTTGGACACGGTACTCCCATGCTCCTGGAACCGTGCAAGCAAGATGGCTCTGGAGCCCCACCCTCCCAACAGCCACAGTCCAAGACAAGCATCTTGCAGTTGGCAAAGGAATGGACTGAACCCAACTTAGGAGGGTACTTTGACAAAGAGTGGTAGCATGGAGGCACAAGGTGAACCCTAGCTGCAGTACCCCTATATTTCTATTTCTGCAAAGCCACAAATCATTGCTGCTACTGCTCCATAGAGATGAGCACCCTGTCCCTCATCAACTGCTTCTCCTCAAAACTGGGACCCACGGTGGTAACCCTCCAAGGGCCTCAGAGCCATCAGTTGCACTCCTAGAAGTCAGATCATCAACCTGGCCCCTCGTGTCAAATGCTTCCCTTTGTGAGCTGCTGTGGACATGCCACCTTTGCCACCAAGCGAAGTTGAACTTCCTTTTGTTTCAGAGTTTTGCACTGGCCTCTAAGAGGTCTTCTCGGGATACAAATTAAAGTACCCTTATGTGTCCACATGTGAGTGAGTTGCCTTCCAGTGTCAAATCTGTGTTCCAGAGTTTGGTCACTGCTCCTTTAAAAAAATAAAACCACATGCGTACACAGACAGACTGGCCTGGAAAGGGCTTTCTGGTGGTCTTGATGCCTTCCCTAGAGAAAACAGCTTTCTTCAGCTAAGAGGATGAGGACATTGAATGACTTACGCTCAACTTCCGGAAGGGCAGTTTGTTTTGTCCATTTTTCAATGGGGGTTGGGGTGGGGGTGGGGTGGGAGGGACCCAATATTTTCAGTTACAACAAGATTTTGTTTGTTTGTTTGTTTGTTTAAAAAAAAGTACGATCCTATGTGGAAATGAGTGGGACAATGATAAAAATAAACAAATAATTAAAATTTAAAACAAAAAACATATTTCCTGGCCCCAGTCTCCCCAGTTAATCCTCCAAAACCACAATCTCAACATTGTGGACTTGATGCTGGTGTTCTTCCATCTCAGCCACAACTTTCTCCTCAGTCCTCAGTTCTGTCTCCAAGATGACCGCTTTGCCCTCATTGTCTTCGGCCTCCGGGTCTGGGGCAGGGTCAATCTCAATGATGGTCTGCCCATCCTCCGAGGTGCTTTCCACAGCCTGGATTGCCGAGGTCAGGCCAGACTCCATGGCCACCAACTCCACAGGGCTCACCATGGTGGCCATGTTACCCAGGGTGCCACCATCCTGCATGGCGGTGGAACTTAGCAGTGCTAAGCTCGACGAAGGGTGGATGGTGACTGTGTCTGGTGAGTTGCTCTTGGCAGAGGAGACCACGGTGGCATAGCGAAAGAGCTGAGGGCCAGAAGGCAGTGTGTGGACAGTCACAGGGCTGGAACCCTGGCTGAGGGTGGCCACTGGAATATTACCCATGGAAAATGACTGACCCACTGGGGTGATGGTGATGGGTGAGATGACTGTGAACTGAGGCTGCTGGACAGGAGGCGAAGGGCTCAGGACGGTGGTAGAAGCTGGCCGCTGTAGCCTGGGCCTTTTGGGAGGTTTAGGAGTGCTCACAGGCATCAGTAGCACATTCTGAACCGTCTGCGATTTTAGTCTGTGATCCTGAGCTTGCTTCTTCTGCTCTTCCAACTGGCGCTCCAAGTCTATGGAAAAGAAGACAGGCTTTGTGTGAAGGGAAGTACGATTTGAAGCATGAGCTGGCAATCAGGGGACCTAAGGACTTACTCTGGTTTTGCCACTATGTGGCCTAAAGCAAGATACATGCTTTGTTTTTGTTTTTGTTTT